TGAGACAAACATTACACACTAAAACCGTACTCAAAGTATGACTTGAGCTAGCAAAACCAAAGCAATTCATCGTTAAAGGATTGATCCTGTACTTCTGTTCATCAGGCACCTAGGTATTTTGGTGGTATTCATCCAGGACACAAATTACTAGATAGGTACTAACAACGTTAATATTTTGTTTATCACCAATAGGTTCTGTAACATTATGGATAATATGGATCTGTGCAGTTAGCCCGAAAACCAGGAGTAGAAAATACTAGTTATGTGAAAGACAACTGAATGAATGTTCTTCTTGGAACTGTTGCATTTTTTGCATCTTGTGATTCATCTCTGAGCTTGGCTGTCCCACTTAGTTCCTAGTGAAAAGTCACATATAAGCAGCTGGTGACTGCTATTATTTCTCCTTTGTCTATGCACTATGCTTCTCTCTCTTTCCTCTTTTTTCACTCTTTCCAGTTGTTCTCCTCCTCCTTCTGTCATTTCTGATATGCTTTTTCTTACCATACCTTTTCATACCTCAGTTTGTTGTTTTTTATTTTATTTTGCCTTTTGTCATGGTTTAACCCCACCTGGCAACTAAGCACCACACAGCTGCTCACCCACTCCCCCCATGGTGGGATGGGGGAGACAATCAGCAGGGTAAAAGTGCAAAAACTCATGGGTTGAGATAAAGACAATTTAATAGATAAAGCAAAAGCTGTGCACGCACACAAGCAAAGCAAAACAAGGAATTCATGCACTGCTTGCCATCAACAGGCAGGTGTTCAGCCATCTTCAGGAAAGCAGGGCTCCATCACCCGTAGTGGTTTCTTGGGAAGACAAATGCCATCACTCTCAACGTGTGTGTCCCGTCCCCCCCCCCTTCCTTCTTCTTCCAGCCCAGCTGTATATGCTGAGCATGACGTCATATGGTATGGAATACCCCTGTGGTCAGTTTGCGTCAGATGTGCCAGCTGTGTCCCCTCCCAACTTCTTGTGCACTTGCTTGCTGGCAGAGCATGGGAAACTCAAAAATCCTTAACTTATGATAAGCACTGCTTAGCAACAGCTAAAAAAATCAGTGTGCTATAAACATTTTTCTCATACTAAATCCAAAACACAACTCTGCACCAGCTACGAAAACTGACTCTATCCCAGCTGAAACCAGGACACCTTTCCTGTTCTTTTGATTCAGCCTCCTTTCATCTCCTTCTTAATTTGCACTTTCAGTTGACTTCAAGACAATTTGCATGCAAGCATCTGAAAAAATCTTTGCCCATGTGCTCAACCACACAGAGAACTTCACAAACTGGAGTGTCGCTTTCAAGACTCGCTCCTAGACAACAACTTCGGAGCCTGATCAATGCCCCTATGAGTTGAGAAGATCCCAACTGGTTTCATGCAGGGAGGAATTTCATGTTTTGATACAGGAAGCTAAGCAGGCCTGTCTGCATTGTTCACTTCCTTAAATATTAGTGATATGCACCGTTAGGTGTATAGGCAAATCATATTTTTTTTCCACTAAACATTGTATTCATCTTCTCCTCTTTTGCAGGAAAACGTGCAGTTACTGACATCAGAAATGTCAACACCAGCAAAGCGATGCAAGGGAAAAGTTTCAATTTCTGCGAGTTGAATGATGGTCATACCCCTGCTCCAAGCCCACCCAGCTTCTGCTAGTGCCTCACTTGAGGACCATCTGACTGCTCAAGACCGGGACTTAACAGGAGTGTTTCAACGAGGTCTCTCTGGAGGAGGGAAAGCACCGTAAAGGTCTCCAATGTTGTACCATGAAGTAAAAAGTTCTTTAAATGTAATTTGTTGAATGCTGATGCAAAGCATTAAGCAGCAAGGATCAGGGGCTTTCTTCAGGCTGGCACAGGCACTGATCGTTTCCAGCAGGGAGGCTCAGTCTGAGCAGAATTAGCTGGGAGATAGCTGATCTCGAAGGGGGAGAAGCTTTCCTTGGCTTCTTCTAGCAGAAATAAATTTCTACCTACTGTAACTTATTACCATCCGATATGCTGAGTCATGAAGCTGGGGTTATAGAAATCTTTATGCAATCTTTATAAATCAGCCTCACATAATCTCAGGCGCTTTCTGCTTCATCTCTGTTGAGTCACTCATTTGACAGTTGTCATTCATCTTAGATTGAGATGTAATTTAATAGTTTCATTTCACCATGAAGATAGCGTCATCTGAAGTTGAGCCCGGAAAGATTTAAAGGTGTAACAGAGGAAATATTAATACTGTAAATAATATCTGTAGAGCTGCCTGGGTCTATAAATCACCTAGTGCCGAGTTGGAAGGGGAGCCTATGTAAAAAAGAAAAGAAAAAGCATCTTCCCCTGTCTTCCTCGGCAGAGAACGGCCGCTCCAGCCACCCAGGCCTGCTCCAGGGGTGCTGGTTGCGACGCTGTCACCGCAGCCTCGCTGCCTGTGTTTGTGGGGATTGCCTGCCCACACGGATGCGGATGGAGGTGTGTTTATACCCACTTAGGGGTACGAGCGTAAGGTAACCTGCCAGCCGGAGACATAGTCCGGCAAGGAGCCAGAAGCCTCACGAAGGAGAGCAGCCGCCCCGGTGTTGTACTGGGGGGTCACGCCTCTCCCTGGGCCAGGCCACGTTGCTCGCCTAAGCAAGCCCGGCCTGCGCAACCCAGGGGAAGACGGGCCTTAAAAACGGCCTTTCTGGATCCCGGCTTGCTCCCTCAGACCGCCGCGGACGCGGCCCGGCCCGGCCCCGGCAGGGAGGGAGGGCAGTGAGGCCGCGGGGCGGCCGCGGAGCCGC